TTTGACATTCAAAAGGAATACAGGGTAGCAAATTACAGCAAATTCGGTTGAACATGTAACATGTAACTTCCGTAACTAAAACGTAAACAAAATCAATATTTTGGACATTAGACTTGAAAAAAATGGTCTTGCTTAAGACTATTTGTGTCTGTCTAGTCAGCTGTTTCTAATTTGTTGCTATGGATGGTATCTATGTTCAGTATTAATACGGCGTTCTGCCTGGCCGACTGCATCTGCATGAATTTTAATCAGACCATCCCGATAGGCATGTTGATTCTCAGTTTAAATCTCTATCTCTAGAACAGGATATGTCGCCTGACGTTCCTGGACGGGAGAAGTCTGTTTATAAGGCTGTGTAAGGTTTTATTGTTATAGTACGGGATCCACCTCACTCCTGAGAAGATAACTTATTCCATGCGATTGACAATGTTGTTCGCTTTCAAATGGTATGCATACAAATTTATTCTGTTGATGAAAATCTGGTTCAAAATTTTAGTAATCCGAATATGTCTTCCTGGAATATTTTTTGGTAAAATCTTCAGAAGAATCCGCAAGCTTTTCATAATGTTTTCTGAAAAAGGATCGGTTAAAAGTGGAAAAGGATGATGTAAACATGCGAATATCCCTTCTTCCCTTTTGGGGACCCAAATCATATAATATTTAGAGATAAAAAAAAAATAATTTTTGGAAGTTAGTATGCGATTCATGAAAATATGGACGAAAATACGGACAAAGGCTCGAGACAGAATGATGATATGTTTTACAAAAATATTTCTCATTCGATTTGACTGAAGACTTATCTGATTACAAAAATAATCTGCAATAGCTGCAAATAAACATACAGATATTTTTCTTCATGAACTTCAGCAAAGCTTGACCCAGTCTTTCTGGTCTTTTAATACTATCGCCACCAGTATTGCCTTTTGGAAAAAATAGGACCAAAATGTACCTAAAATGGAACAAAATAGGATTTTCGGTCTGAAATGGCAAACCATAGGACCATTTTTTTTTGTTTTTTGGACCAAATTTGTTTCATTCACTCAAGATTTTTCCACCCGCCAGACTGTCAGACAGATATATGAGAATGGTAGAGATAGAACAGTTCTGGAGAAATCATTCCACCTTGGGGAACTGCCTATTTTACTCTATGTGTTCCTGTTTCCGAATTCCACACATATAGTTGAATATCCAAATACGGGCAGAGGGTTGTCTTTATGTTCTCGAACAGTTTGGGATGGTTGACGGTATCGAAGGCCTTCCATAGGTCAAGTGACACCATGACAGTTCGGTTGCACGGTCTGTTCTGGTACAATGCTCTCCTAATATGTGTGGAGATGATGTGCCATGCTGTTGCACTACTTGTATTTTACGGTATCCTCGTTGGAAAACTGCCTCTAATCGATGGGAAGAGTAGTGCACCAAGTGTCTTTGCTATTGGCGACAGAAGTGGCATCGGCGTGTCAGGCTTACTAGGCTTCAGGAACTATGATGTTGCTAATGACATATTGAGGACGACCCCGTGTTCGTCCAGGTGTTTAAGAAATACCATGACAATTAGGGCAGAGCGCAAAGATCTGGATGACATTTACAACATCTCCCTTGTAAATTGTGGGCGTACCTCCTCAGCTGAGAGTACTCTTAATCAACGTGGCATTGAGATTTTGGATATATGAAGTATACTGAAACTTTATATATTTTGTCCAAATGGAAGCTATATCCAAATCTAACAAAACCCAGCACACGCCATTATGCAATGCCGGTAGTGGATAAAAAAATTTCGCTACTATATTTAAAAGGGTTTTGCAGCATTTCGCCACCAAAGTTTCTGTAACTTGATATTCCGTGTTCGAGGAGGCAGCCAATTTATTTGTATTTTTGGTTATAGATCCCTATTTTGACAATGTCAACATCCCAACGAAGTGGCTGTTAATCGGCATTTGGGGTTCGTGGGGAGTGAAAAACATTTTTGTAATCTGCGATATAAGTTAATGTTTTGACATAGCCCCCATATTTTGTATATTTCTTTGAGGTTTGAAAACTTTTCTGCAGAACATTTTGAATGTGGGACCATTTTTTGGGATACCACGAAGTGGCTGTAATTTGTCATTTTGGGTTCGTGGAGGCTTAGAAAATATTTGCATTATTCGATATACATTCGTCCATGTTTTGACTTAGCCTCTATTTTCGGTTTTTTTCTTGAAGGCTTTGATAACATATTTGCAGAACATTTTCGATTTAGGATCATGTTTTGGCATACCTCGCCCACAATTTCGGTATTTTGAAGATTTCAGCCGCGTGGTTGTAATTTGCCATTCCGTGTTCGTGGAGGGTGAAAACAGCTTTGTGATTTTCGATATCCAGATCAATGTTTTAACATAGAAGCGCCCTATTTTATTGAAAAGAATTTCTCCCATATGAACGGACCAGCCCAATTGGAAAATGTTCGACATTGATCCATATTTTGACATAGCCCACATATAAACGTTCCGATCCATTTTCAGTATTTTTAATATTTTAAGCGAATTTAACTACCGAACTGCCTAAATTTGGCATTCCGTATTTTAAGAAAATAAAACAAATGGTTTGCAGTAACTTTCCTCTATAAAGGTATCGCCAATTTAGCCACAAAAGAGACTTTAATTTGATATACCGGGTTCTGGGAGGGTAAAATATTCTTGCAGAACATTTTCAGTATAGCCTCTTATTTTGAGATTGCACCCAAATAATATTTTGGCGGAATTTTAGGTATTTAAAAACGATTTTTCCTAATTATACTAGGAGTGATAGTGTTATGGAATTGTGGGTTCTCGGAGGGTGATAAGAGAACCTAAGGGTCGGTAATTTAATTTTCTAAAAAAGAAAATAAAAGCCCAAATAAAGGTTCCGATCTGTTTAAAATAATTTTAATTTGTGTTGGAGAGTATAATTATCGATTTTTACACCCTTCACCATAAAGTATTTTAAATTGTTCCTTCCGTTTTCAAAAACAAAAATTTCGGTCCGTCCGTTTGCAACACCTTGAAATATTCACCGATGACTCCGCAAAGTATATACATATATTCTTGATCGCAATAAAATGCTATGTCGATTTTTTGTTTATTTTGGGTTCACATGGTATAGCATATCTCCGTACCAATAATGATTTGTATTGATCCAAGTTTCAAGGTAGCCCCCACACAACGGAATCCCAAAATATTCGGTATTTAGTGTATTTGTTATACGTTTTTCAACGGAATTGGCTGTAAATTAGTATATACCTTATAACGGTACGCCCAACATACGTTATTTTTTGCATATTGGACACACGCAGATCGACCTATAGATCTTTCGGAGAATTTTTCTTCCAAACACTCCTAGAGCACATCCTTGTACTAAAAATTATTAATATTATACCAAACCTCCATATAACGGTGTAGGGGTAATCTCTGTACTAAAAATGATTTCACTACCCATAATGACCAATATTGATTCAAGTTTTGGTATTGCCCCACCACTTCACCACTCTGTGGTACAGGGTATTATGTCATTGTGCATATGTTTGTAACAGGCAAAAGGAAACGAGATAGGCACATGGTTCCTTCTGAGAATATGCATAGAATTACTTTTTAAGCCGATTTATGCATGTCCGTCCGTCTGTCTGTCCATGTTTAATTGTAAACAAAGTACAGATCGTATTTATTATCCGAATTGGATGAAATTTGGCGTACGTCACTTATTTGGCCCAAGGACGAACCCTATTGAAATTGGGAAAATCGGTTCAGATTTAGATATAGCTCCCATATATATATTTAACCGATTTAATGTAAACGGTCCCTATATAGCTTTCGATTTGCACGAAATTTGGTACAGCCTAATCATTTAGGGATATAATTATGTCTGCCAAGTTTCATGAAAATCGGTCCAGATTTAGATATAGCTCCCATATATAGTTTCGTCCGATTTCATGTAAATGGTGCACCAAAGTCCCTATATATCCTTCGATTTGCACGAAATCTGGCATAACGTACTGAATTGAGCCTAGAGTGATGTCTGCCAAGTTTTGAGAAAATCGGTCCAGATTTAGATATAGCACCCATATATAGTTTCGTCCGATTTAAGGAAAATGGTGCACCAAAGTCCCTAAATATCTTTCGATTTGCACGAAATTTTGCACAGTGTACTGAATTAAGCCTAAAATGATGTGTTCTAAGTTTCATGAAAATCGGTGCAGATTTATATATAGCTCCCATATATATTTTCTTCCGATTTAAGGTAAATGGTAGATCAATGTCACTAAAAATCTTTCGATTTGCACGAAATGTGGCACAGCGTACTGAATTAAGCCTAGAATAATGTGTGCTAAGTTTCGTGAAAATCGGTTCAGATTCAGATATAGCTCCTATATATATTTTCGTCCGATTTAAGGAAAATGGTGCACCAAAGTCCCCAAATATCTTTCGATTTGCACGAAATTTGGCACAGCATAATGAATTGGGTATAGAATGATGTGTGTTAAGTTTCCTGAAAATCGGTTTAGATTTAGATATAGCTCCCATATATATAGATTTCGATCGATTTAAGGAAAATGGTGTATCAAAGTCTCTACATATCTTTCGATTTCGACGAAATTTGGTACAGCGTACTGAGTGAAGTCTACAATGATGTGTGTTAAGTTTCGTGAAAATCGGTTCAGATTGAGATATAGCTCCCATATATATTTCCGTCCGATTTTAGGTGAATGGTGCAACAGAGTCCCTATATCTTTCGATTTGCACGATATTTGGCATATCGTACTGAACGAAGTATAGAATGATGTGTGTTAAGTTTCCTAATAATCGGTCCAGATATAGATATAGCTCCCATATACATTTTCGTCCGATTTAATGTAAATGGTGCACCAAAGTCCACATATATCTTTCGTAATGAACTTAGTATAACCTATAAGTCGTTTTTACTTGCTGTACTTGTTTTTCCATATTAAATTTTAAATATAAAAAAAATCCTTTCTTTTCTTTTTTCAGAGTTTCAAACAGGCCCAGGTTGTATCAAGATCTGGATCAAAAATTGTGGAGAATATGGCCAATGAAGTGAAAACTATGATGGATTTAAAAATAAGTGCTGTTCGCGTAAGTCGGAATTATTTGGATTTTGTTTGCCAAACACATCGTCCATTCATAGCTATATACCAAACATTAAATAATAATATTAAATATTTATGCTAACGGATATTTTTGTTCTACTTTCGAATATACATATTTAGCGCATTATGGATACCGCCGAAAATACTGCCTTAACATATCAAATGGAAAAACCCAACAAATATTTTTCTTATTATAATTCGAAAGAAATGATTGAGCCACACGAACCAGTACCAACGGAACCGCCACGCGATCTCGAAGATGCGGGCGGGCCGAAAATTTTCATAACACCTAAAACGATTGTTCTAACACCGAAAGAGGAATTTTTTAATACACCCGTCAATATGACTGTTAGCTCAGTGCATGTGCCGACGAATGTTTACGATAGAGGTTCGAGTTATTTGTTATGTTTATAATTTTCTTTTGTTCCCTTTACGTTTTCATTTTTTGTGTGTCTCTATTCGTTTACATCAGTTAATTAGTTGGTATTGCTAACAATAATAACAAAAGTACACTAGTTTCAGTTTTTGTTTAAAAAATTACAGATTTTATGCAAGGGTTTCATAAAACGCACACATTTTGTTAAACCATAGATATTGAATGTAATGGTAAAAATTAAATTTATGTTTTTTTTTTTTTCGAAATTAGAATTTTTAAAGGGTATTAGATTACATCTTAAAAAAGTTTCTCATCATAGATAATTAACCATAAGATAAAGATTATATTTTACATCAATTTAAAACTGTTTTTATGTGTTCTGTCATAATTTGCCAGATTTTCATGTTCCTATTATAGTCCCTTTCAAATTCCATATCCCAGTGTGACTTATACTCCCTATGTTATAAAAAATTCCCTATATTATATATACCTATACCTTAGTTAGTTTGTATACCCTACACAACTCTGTTGTCAGGGTATTATAGCTTTGTGCAGCCCAAAAAGTTTGTAACGCCGCGAAATATTGGTCCTAGACCCACCTTTTAGTATACCGATATCATATCATATCTCGATTAGCGTAGTCCTTCTAGACATGTGTGTCCGTCCGTCCATTATAATTTGTAAACACGATACAGGTCACAGTTATGGACCAATCTTCACGAAATTTTGCATGAAGGATGGGTTCTGGACAATGAAGACCCCTATTGTTTTTAGAAAAGATCGGTTAATATTTAGGGGATGAAATGGACCAAATACTAAATTTTTGCCGGTTTTTCTGGTCGCTCCAGAGGCCGCAATTATGGACCAAACACCGCGAATTTTTGCATGGAGAAGGGGATCGGGCCAGAGAATAAGCATGCATGTTTTGATAAAGATCTGTTATTATTTAGCGGGTCAAATGGACCCAAACTTTTGTGTGAAAAATAACAAAATTTGAATTCTATGGCGTATATGTTTACTCCTGAAGGACATAGACCCGAGAAGTTGATAGTATATCCAAGAGGAGTGGTTGACCTTTAAATTGATACCAATTATATTGTCGTATGTACTCGGATGTGGGAGATACACTTAAATATTTACAGGTGCTTACGTATTGATATAGTATTCAGTAACCCATAACGACACTAGAGGGCAGAAATATAGCGCTGATCGCTTTTAAATTTTCCATGAGGATCCAGGTATGGTCAACTACTACGGCTATAATTTTCGGCGATGATCAGATACTAACTTTGGGATGAATAAGACCGAAAACTTAAATTTTTGGGTTTTGTTTTTTTTTTGTCGAACTGAAAGTCGAACATCACAACCCAACCCACCGTGAAGGGAATCTGTAGTCAATATTAGTAATATTTGTTGACCTCTAGCCGGTCAAGAGGGTGCAAATATCGCGAAATATTGCCAAGATCTGAATATAGAACCCCAGAATGTTAGATTTTCGTGGAAGTTGTGTAGGGTATTATATGGTCGGCCCCGTCCGACTATACTGCTCCGCTCACTGGTTTTATTTTAGTAATTTTGAAACTCAAACTAGTGTACTTTATTATAAAAAAAAAACAAAACAAAAATATCACACTAACATACATATACAAAATTATAAATAATTTTTTATCATTAAAAATGAAACCAATAATATGTGCACCGCTTTTGGCAGTTAATTGTTTATTTATTTTATTTTTTAATATTAAGAAGCACCCAACTTTTTGAAAAAAGTATGATTTAAAGACTAACACGAAAAGGATTTCCATTGGAAATTATTCCGCAAACGTAACCTATGACCGGAATGTACCTAATAATAATTCACTTGAATACACGAATACACGCCTCAAGCATCATACAAGCAAATATCATGGTTACGATTGTGGAAATTATTTTAATGGAAATTCAACAAAAAAACAAAGAAAAAATTGAATGGCTTTTAAATGCTTTTTTTTGTGGACACTATGCATACATTTACAAAGCAAAAAAAAAAATAAGACATACACAAATGTAAAGATGAAGGTTCTATTAAAGTGTTACATACGAACATTTTAAAAATCACAGTGATCGTCATATTCTAAGACCCACCCATTCTCAGTTTCAAAAAATTTACATTTGTTATACCCTCCACCATAGTATGGAGGGTATATTAATTTTGTCATTCCGTTTGTAACTCATCGAAATATTCATTTCCGACCCTATAAAGTATATATATTCTTGATCTATTTTTAAGTGATTATTTATACTCTTTCAAGTCGAGCTTGATGATCTAAGTTTTTCAATGAAAAGGAAAGCCAGGAGAAGAACCTACGTACCCACCATTATGCGACGCGTTTCGCCGTTGGTTAAGCTGCTATGTGGCTTTACAAAGGTCGTATGTTGATAACTTGTATTTATTCCGCTCTGATGCGAAACTTACATATGCGAATTAAATTCAAATTTGTCAAAGTTCGACATTTGTCTTCATTCTAGGAACAGTCCTTTTCCTTTTGTTGCAGCTATGGATAATTAATCCACACACCTACAATTTCTTCCATGGTATACACATGTTTTTGCGCAACGGTTTTGGAAGTGTGTTGATGGCTCAGAACGTTAAGTGGTCTGGCAACATTTGTGTTGCTCCGAGGACCTAGGTTCGAGCCCTAGCCGTGCTCAGCTGAAATTAATTTTTTTGTTATTTGAAATTTGCCTTGTAAGGGCAGTGATCATTTCAAAGTAATTTTAAGTGATTATTTATACTCTTTCGAGTCGAGCTTTATGATCTATGTTTTGCAATGTAAAGGAATCAGGGTAAAATTCTAAGACGATCTAGCCATGTCCGTCCTTCTGTTGTAATCACGCTATCTTCTGAAGGAATTGAGATAGAGAGCTGAAATTTTGCATAGGTTTGTCTTTTGTCTGCAGGCAGGTTAAGTTCGAAGATGGGATATGTCGGTCCACGTTTAGGCATAGCTCCCATATAATAGTACCCCCCAATTTTCGGTATTTTGGGGTTCATGAGCGCGTTTTTCATTCAAATACGTTGAAATTTGGTACATTGGGTTCTTATTGGGTACTAAATGTCTCCACAAAAAATTATAAATATAGGTCCACTTTTTCTGGTAGCCCCCATATAACGTTAACTCCTAATTTTCAGTATTTTGGAGGTTCTGATCGTATTTTTCCACCGAATTGGCTATAATTTAGTACTTTAAGCTCTTAATAGGTACCAAATCTCTCCACAAAAAATTATAAATATAGGTCAATTTTTTCGGATAGCCCCCATATCAGGGTACCCCCAATTTTCGGTATTTTGGGGTTCTTGAACGCTTTTTTCAACCGAATTCGCTGCCATTTGGTATTTTGTAGTCGTATATGGTAACAAATCATCCTACCAAAAAATTTTAAACATTCACCCCCTTTTTGGGGTCGTCCCCATATAACCCCCTTTTTTATATTAAAATAGTTATATGATTTTTTCCGTGTTCGGTTCTGAGACTCTTACTTACTTACTTAGCTGGCTTGTTACAGAACAGTTGTTCCATAAGCCGAGGTCTTGTGCGCAAGTCCACCAATTTGGAAGACCACGTTCCAAGATGTTGTTGTCTACTTGGTCTTTCCATCTAATTCGTGGCCTTCCCCTTCTACGGGAACCATCAGTAGGCTCATTTTTATATGCCTTTTGATCTGGGGCATTTTCATTCATCCGCACAACATGGCCTAGCGACCGTAGTCGCTGCAGCTCAATACTACTGACTATGTCGATGTCCGCGTATAAATTATAAAGCTCGTGGTTCATTCGACGCCGATATTCACCGTCGACGCAGATCGGCCCGTAGATCTTTCGGATAATTTTTCTCTCAAACACCCCAAGAGCTGCCTCATCTGCTTGCGCAAGTACCTATGCTTCTGATCCATATAATAGCACGGGTAGTATCAGCGTCTTGTAAAGTGTGAGTTTGGTCTGGCGGGAGGTGGCCTTGTTTCTAAACTGCTTACTTAGACCATAGTAGCATATGTTGGCCATCACAATCCTTCTCCGAATTTCAAAACTGATGTCATTCGTTTTATTTATGGCGGTACCAAGGTATATAAAGTATTTAACTACCTCGAAGTAGTAGTTCTCAAGTTCCACAGTTGGTCCGAGTCTACTGGACGTCTTGCGCGTTGATACCATCAGCTTGGTCTTCTCGCCGTACACTGCCAGACCCA